AACCTATGTTAAAAACATTTACTGTCAACAAGGTTAACTATTAAGATCCCTTTAGAAATCTGTAAATATATATATATACACACATATATATGTGTGTGTGTGTGTGTATATATGTTAATTATACCTTATATATATATTAATTATATATTATATAATTAATTTATATATATAATTAATATATATTATATAAATATAAAATACTGAAATTCTATAACTTGGTATGTTAACATAGTCTGCAGAATTAGGAAAGCAGAATTCCAGATGTCACCAGAAGACTTATTATTACATGATTTGTTCCTGGCAAAACAGATTTGGGGCTTTTCAATTTAGGATGCAAGAGAATATTTTGCTGTTACTTTTACAACATATTCACCTACTGTGAATGCCAAGGCCACGGCGGCCGTCACATGACAACTCTAGCTCGTCAGTTAAAGTATGACCTTCTAACTCCCCAAGGGAGACCAGCTGTCTCCAGCCACCTCCGAGCTGAGGACTGAGGGATTTCTTAAGACTGGGCCTCAGACTGGGGTGAAGTTGAAGTTGGACACGGCCCAGGAACACAGTGACCTTTGAATCTACATTAGGATTCCCCTTGACTGCCTAAATGAAAGAAAAAAATTTCCAAATGCAGAGCATAGCTCCCACTCTCAAACACGGTTTATTAATAGGTAGCCTCTAATGTATTCGCAAGGAGCAAGAAGTACACAGTGCTTTGGGTATTAATCTGGAATGCTAAAATTTTTAAAGTGACAAACACACACCCATCAAATCAGTGGGTGGTTCCTGGCCACAACCTCAGGGTCCAGCTCTCTCCTCTCAGTCTCCCTGACAGCACACCCATCCTCACGAAACCTTGTCCCTGTTTCTCTACTCAAGATTTTTGAGTATTTGCTTGTCTAGGCTCTTCCTGGCTTGCTCTCCTGGCAAAGACCCTGTAATCAAAAAATCACCACGCTCAAAACTAGCAAGCCAAAGGTGCACAGAATCCTTTCCCCCTTCTTGACACGCCCTCCTTCTGTCCCTTCTCACTACAAATTCTAAGTTCTCATCCAGCTATAAAATACCCATGTCATTGTTTAAAATAATAATAGTGGAGAGAATAGCAGTTGGCTGTGTCACTAGACTCCCATGTAGTTAACTGAGGTTTGAGTCCCGGACCCAGTGACTTAAACTCATGCCGGGCGCACTTGCATGCGTGCCCAGGATTCCAAGAGGAGAATGGAGGAGAAGACACTGTGGCATGGCCATCCTCCTGGGGAGTGATTTCTCTCTCTCTCTCTCTCTTTCTGGCAAGCACACACACCCTTAGCGAAAACCTCTCCAGTACTAATAATAATAAAAGTAGAAAACTTCCTAGAAAATGAAAGCTGGAGCTAATTACCTTCCCAACTAACCATCTCAAGAAAAGGTCAAAATAACCTTCTCAGGAAAGCCCATATTTTCTTCTTAGAAAAGCTGCCGAAGTCTTCCCTCCTGTGCACAGAAGCAAACCCCCCTCAGTGTAGTCCTTTGCAGGTCCATTTTCCCCTCTCTTCTATTTAGGCTCTGTCTTTCTGATCACAAGCTGGAAAACGTACAGGGGGGGGGGAACAGCAGGTGGCATGGTGGTTAAGGTGCTCGACATTCCCACATGGCCGACCAGAGTTCAAGTCCTGAATCCAGTGGCTTGCTTTCTCACTTCTCTCACTCTCACCCTCTGTCTCTCTCTGGTCAAATTTTAAAAATGAGCGAATGAATAAATAAAATTAAATAATTATTTTTAAAAAATGTACTGGGGATGATGTGATATCAAATTTTCAGTGTTTCCAGCATTAAATGTTTTCATGAGTTAAAATTTGGAAATACATTTTGAAAAATTAAAACCAGTAAGTCACTAAAATGACCTAAATTCCCATTATATAGTTCCTTCATTTACATTCTTTTCCATGCCTCAAAATTAATCAGACTTCACACACTTAGCCAAGCTGCAGACACATAAACCATGCATCAAACATGAGCTATGTCTTCAGCTACCTGAGCTGTCAGCAGGCTCAGGCACTTTGACAGAACACGTCTTTAAGAAAAGCAGACACTAAGTTACCACACCTAGTACTGGCAGTGGGTGTCAGAGACCAGAGCTCACAGGACTGAGAGCCAGCCACCAGGTGCAGTGAGGCACAAGCAACTTCTGCGTTTCACAAGGTCACTCCCTAGCCACAGCAGCCAGAAGCAGCATGCAGGCAAACTCACACCCCTACGCAAATCAGGAGTACATTCTAGAATAATACTATGTGAGTCAGAGCCACAGAGGCTCCGGGGTCTAAGCTGGAAAAATAACATATCACACCATTACAGCAACGGATTACATGTGGCCGAACTTGTGTTCTTTGTCCCTGCCTCAGAGGACAAAGAGCCTACCATCCCCAGGGGCATAGTTTCCCTCATGGGCCACCTCGAGTCTTCCCAAGTGACAAGCATTGATTCTTAAGCATAGAGACAAATGAACAAACAGAAGCTCAAGTCTGTGGCTGATTTTCCAGACTGCTCAATATTCTCAGCAAGCATGAAAAGAAAACAGGAATGCTAGAAGTGACTTACACAGGCTTTGCAAGCTGGGCCAGAGCCATGGAACCGTGGGCATTTCCTGACGAGGACTCCCTACCTCTGCAATGCTCTGCTCTTCCGTGAAATGAGAGGTTGATTCTTAGGTAAGGACCAAGACTTGAAAGCAGGTTTGTACCCACTGTGTGTCAGGCACTTAAAGCTGCCAGTCACATGGTTGAGGGATGAACTCTCTGGTTTCCTGTAGCCATAAAACAGCCAGCTGGGATCCAAAACATGTATGGTATAGTACAGTATAATAGCCATTAAAAAAGTTTGTTTCCTTTCTCCTCTGAGAGGATACTACAGAAATTGATGTAGGGGAAGTGTGTGTTTGTGAGTGAAAGGATCCTTGTATAGACAAATAGATATCCAAAGGCATATACAATGTATGTTGAATATCTGTGCATAATATATTATCTACTTCTAAGCTGGGAGAGGCACTTGGCTGAAAAAGTCAATGTATTATGATTATGACATAATATAAAAGAAAAATATTTTAAAATACTTAAAAAATATGCAGCATATAAAATTAAAAAGTAACTAATGTTTAAAATTTCTAGGTTACTGAGAAAAAAATGTTTTAAAAAGGTTATCCTTAGTAATGCCAATGGAACAGGGGACTGGTCCTATTATAATTATTATTTCAAACATCCCTACAAAAAAGTAACTATATGCACTCTCCTATACCAAGCAAAATAGTTCAAAAGCCACAAATGATTGGAATTATAAAGTGGCTTTTGAAAATGGGCACGACATTTCCGTCATATACATTTACATGATTAATTTCAAGAATGTTTAGATGAAAAGAGCTGTCAGAACAAGGCCTGGACATTTTTAAAATACAGAAATCTTCTCTTGGGGAAAGAGGGAAAACACACACACAAACACACACACACACACACACACACTTTACAGGAGTTGGGGGGGGGCAGCTGGTTTGGCGCAGCTTTGTCTTGGGAGAGAATCCTCTCTCCCTCCCCAACAGAACAGGAATGATCAGGTAAAAAGGCTGCATCTCCCCTCTAGCTCCAGACCTCCGGGGTAATTGGATTCTGGCCTTTATAAATAGATTTGTCAGTGGTGCATCCAATACTTGGGGTACTTTGGCAGCAGTAGCCTAAACAGACCACAGGAAGGCTGCAGAGGTGTCAACCACGAAAAAGGCATAAGACTGGGGGGTCTTAGACACTGAAGAGCTGCAATTCTCCATCTAGGCAGCAGGGCAAACCCTGGGGTATCAGGTGAACCTTCAGGCTCTCCAGGGGAGGACAGTGGGATCTTACAGACCTTGTCATCTGAACACAGGAACTATACCCAGGTTAAAGTACCTGCTCTGGCTTCTTTGCATGCATAATGGAGTGAGTGAGAGGACACCACCAATTCACCTGCTGACTACAGCTTAAAATCAAACACAAACTAAGGAATAATCCTCAGAAAACGACATTTAAATATTAAAACCCCAAATCTTACATTACGGTTTGATCTTTCCAAGACACATCTTTATCGGTTTGTCAGATAAAGAAAAAACATCGACGATTTCCTACCTAAAGTATACCTTCGGTTCTTTCCTTTCACAAACACAAATCCTCCAATGACGCCCCTGATCGTAAAAAGAAGAAAGGAGATGGACCTGCGTATCATCAGAGCACGGCTTTGAAAAGAAAATGAAAATAAAACGCTATTAAGTAATCCTCTGGCAAAACAACTTTCTCAGCCAGCAGGAGCAGGAACTCAGGATCCGCCCAGCTTGAGTATTGATGAGACTATTAGAGTCCGGGAGGGAGCCCAGTGACTTTTTCAATGGAGGCGATGCAGATGTAATAATCAGTTCACGCTTCACTAGGAGGAGGTTAAGCAGTGGTTATTTCACTCCGGTTTAGGGGACGCTTAAGAGACTAGGGACGAGGAGGGGGTAAAGGGTCTGGCTTGCTAAAGTTTGCGTTTCTGCAAGAGGTTAACAAAACTCCGGAGAACAAACCCTAAAGCCGATACTCCCCATCTCTTTTCCTGGTTCTGAACCACCTAACACCCCCTAAATAAAAACAGAGCCACTGCTGCAAAGCCCTTTGGTTACGCAGGAGGCTGGGACCCGCTCTTGGCACAGGAAACAGATGCGGACGCCTGAGGACCACACACGTGGGGGCGTTGGCAGGCGCCGCGGTCAGCCCCGGGGCCCACGCCCCCGCCTGGGCCGGGGACAGCTGGGGATCGTCACCTTCGGACCGGCGCATTCTCGGATCAGGGCCGGAAGCTCAGCTCGTGATAGCGGTGCGGCCCTTCCACTCCCGCCAGGCAGGGCAGGCGCCCAGGCGGCTCGGGGCACCTGAGGAGCGCGGCGAGGGCGGGGACGCCGACCGCACGGGAACCACCGCGGAGCGGAGGGGCGGCCAGGCGCGCGGCCCTTCCGCAGGACCCACCTGGATCTGCAGCGGCACGAGGCGCACTTTGCAGCGCTCGCTCACCGAGAAGCCCTTGGGCAGGTCCACGTACTGGCCCCACTCCTCGGCGAAGAGCTGCACCACGAATTTGCGGTGCATGTCGATCTGGTCGCCGTACAGGTTGAGGAACTTCTGGATGAGCAGCTCGTAGCCCGCGCCGTGCGGCACCGACGAGGGCCGCGCGAACACGGAGAAGCAGAAGAGCACCGGGAC